GGGCAAAACTCCATGCTAAAAACTTGCAACTTATGCCTGCACTTTTCGCAATTTTCATTATAAACAAATGTGCATAAAACACGTGAGTGTGGCTGTGACTGCGACAGTATGTGTGCATATGTGTGTGTGTGTATGCGCATATAAACATAAATGACAGCCTTTTTGTTGCTACCTTCTTGCTGGCGGCCGGAAATTGTGCGGCGGAATTTACTAAACACAGCTGGTCGTAAAAAAAAAAATTTTAAAAAATCGAAAAATAAAAACATAAACTACCACAATGCAAAATACTTTCTAACAAAGCGTAAAACTATGTACTTTGAGGACTTTGCAACACTATTTGTAGTTGATAATTCACAATATATATAACCTGCTACGAGCGAATTCCTCATACTCATCCAGACAAAAGACTCATGATAATGAATAAATATTCATAGGTAAAGTTTTGCTAGGTCCGTATATATATAGAGTACAACAATGTCTATCAAAATATGAAGAGGTTTCGTGATGAGGTGTAAAGCACATCAAATTATCGAATAATACTCGGCGGAATATATGCTTTTTTCGGAGATGTATATTTCCTGAGAGAAAATACTCATCTCTACATAGAAAGCGGTTTGTCCTGATTGACTGAAAGACTGACTGACTGACTCACAGACAAAATGACTGACTGACTACTGCCCAACACACAGTCCAACCGTAAAAGCTAGAAAGCTGCGATTTTGACAGTAGCCAACCTCATGTGATGGAGATGCACGCCTAAACGGGGGCATTTGTAGTTTTCTACACGCATGTGTTGTACAATAATTTTTTGCTTTACCATTTGAAATGGCTTTATAAAAAATCCATCCCTACTTGTCTCATAATATATTTAAATAAATGTGAAGCGCAATGTCTGCCAAAAATCTAAATCTGCCAAAAATCTAAATCTAAATCAACAATAAAAAATACATATATTACAAAGAATATTCCTGAAAATGTGACTGCTTAATAAATGATTATACACTAAAAAGCACAGTAATATAAGACATTCCCATTTTTTGTCACTCGTATATTCCTGTTAAAGATGGATATATGGGATTAAATATTAATTGTAGAACAACATGATTCTTAGCAAATGTTTTGAATACATCTCAACGTTTTTTTTTTTTTTTGCGGTAAGCAATGTTGAAATAATTAATGATAACAATTTCTAATTTAATCAAAATGACATATCAAAAGATGTTACATACAGATAAAAATACCAAATGTATGCGGAAATAATTAATTTATCTATATTATCAAGCTTAGCTAGTTTATTTTTAGAATTCAATTAAAAATCTGAACACAGACGTGCAAAGAGAACTGATTTTGGTGTTTATTTATACAAAGCATTCCAAAAAAATGTAATATGTAGCATAAAAAGTGCTGCTAATGACAGCAAATCGATAGAATAGAGTGTTTCTCTTTCGCTGCCCCAAAATGTGAATACACCTGTTACTTGCTGGGCGCTGGGCCCGAAAAACAAAAATAAACGTGTAATGAAAGGCAGACAGGATACAGCAATAACAGCCTGATAGACGTCAGTCAGAGGTGCCTTGAAAATTATATAGCACATATATGAGCATGCAGCTGCAAGTGTAAGTGTAAGGGTGTGTGTGTGTGTGTGTATTGGTGTGTATGTGCTACGGGCAAATAAAAGTTTGTAAACTTTTGGGCCAAAAAGAACGTCGTCACGTTGTCGTTTTTTATCGCTCAAGTCATTTTCTGTAGATGACAAGTTATACCACGCATGAAACAAGCCCGGCAACCAAGTTTTTCTTCTTGTTGTTGTTGTTGTGTAAGTATGTGCGTGTGTGTATTTTAATATTTTTGTGTTGAAAAGTTGTTGCATGTCTACAAAATTAACTTTTTTTTTTAATGAAATACGTAGCAATTTTTTTTTTTTGTTTGGTTCTAATAACTTTTAAAGTACTTTAATACGCATTAAATACTTTGTGTAATTACTTTGAAAAGCACTTTTTAAGCTTGAAATGATTAATTATTTCGAATTTAATTTTGGTTTGGTTTGCAAATGGGCTGCAAAATATAATAAAAATATTTGAGTGTCTGTCGCCCTATCTAACTCTAAAGCAACTCCTCAACTAAGAAGGAGAAGCAGAAATGCACAGACGATGGGACATGTCATCTTCTGCATATTAAATAAAATATTATATAAATCCTCTTGAACAGTTAAAAAGGAACTACAGGGCATAACACCACGCATACAGATTTTATTTATATTAAACAAAACTAAAATGAAAAGATGAAAATTGAAGTCGACTAAATAAACATAAAATATAACTGAGTGTTTTGTTGAAAAAGAAGTATTCGAAATAAATATACTCCTAAAACTAAAATGACAATGCAACAGAATAAACTTAATAATTGGTTAGTGCAAAAATAGTTATGAATTTAATAAATTGTAAAAACAAGTTGGTCACACGCGCAAAACCACATACACATACATACACACACACACGCACACACACACATGCTAGCCACATGTGAAATAAATTCTTTGCAGGCGCGCTGGTAAAAACTTCAAGTCAAATGTTGCAATGTTACATAAATTGAAATAGTTTTGTCGACAAGTCTCAAAATGCATGCAAAACTTGCCACAAGAAGATGATGATAAAGAAGAAGCAGACAACGCAGCAGCAGCAGCAGAGTTGACATTTTTTTTAATTAAACTAAACTTGAGGCTGTCAAAACTTGTTGTTTTTGTTGCATTGCTGCCATATAGAAGAACAGCACGAATAATAGTCAAGTGCAAATAGAAATGTCTGCATAGCAGTAGGCAAAAGTCATTGCAAAGTTTTAGTTTTAGTACGCTTGGTCAGCCAGAACTTAACATGCATGCGAGTATCTTATACAATTCTTATAAAACTAATCTTAAACCCTTCTCAGCCCGAAATGAACCCCAACATCCAATGGGTTCAACAAGCAACAAAGTAAAAACTCGTGTACAGCAGCAGTGTAAAACTTTTTCGATATTTCAAATGGGAAAATGTGTAAAAAACCTTAGACAATAACTTGCAAATCCAATTACGTAGCCACATGCCTTATGACATGCGTACAACTGCTTGAATTCATGGAGTTTTTGCAGCTTGCATATTAAATTAGCCAGCAAATTGGGTATGTGTCAGGGCTCAGAGCTGAACATTTCAGACCTGCCAATTTAAAATCAAATTTTGTTTTTGCCACGTCACAAGGGTCAACAGCAGCACAGGCCAAAAACAAGCATTTCTAGCCGTTTGTGCTCGAAGCGCAGATGCCCAGTGGCATATCGGTAAACCAAAATAACAATGGGAATAAAAATCATTTCCCATCAATATTTTTTTAAGATTATTATGGAATGCAGCTAAGAAAAACGGTCTGTTCCTTCGAGAATAAGAGCTCTCTACCTTAAAAAAACAAAATTTGATATTGATCTTCATCCTTATAAGAGAAGAAGTTTAATGTATTTAAATGGAATGTATACAGTAAAAAACTTCTGTTCCTTCCAGAATACAAGTTCTTTACCTTAATAAAGAGAATTTAATATTGACAGTCATCTTTGTAAGTGAAGATTTTTGAAGTATTTAAAGAGAAACATAATCTCAGTTAAGAATCAGTGAAGCTCATTTCTTTTGTTTGATTATGCAAGCACCTTAGACCAAACTTAACCGAGTTCCATATAAATATTCCTTAAACCCAAGACATAAACTACTTGATGCCTTTTTGCGATAATATTATACCTTTACCTACACAGCATTAATGGGTATTTACAATGTATCAGTTGCACGCTGTGTATACGTAACCTTTTACATTGCGTATACGCAATGTGGTACGTGCCAAAGTTGCAATTTGTTACTCTTTTTTGTTTCGGTCAATCGCTCCCTTGCACCAAATTTGACTTGTCAATGGGAAAACGCAAATAATTTACCTAAGTGTAAACTCCTTTTGCACTCAACAAGCGGCAACAAAAGATGCAGCAACATGCAATTCATTGTAATTTTTGCCTGCCTCTCACTCTCTCTCTCTCTCTCTCTCTATTTCTCTCTATAAATCTCTCTCTCTCTCTTTCTCGCTATCTATCTTTCACAGGAGTGTTACAGAGCCCACAATGCTTTTCACCTTAACAACATAATGACAATCAACTAATAGAATTGACACAGCCGCAGCCTTAGCCTTGCCCTTAGACCCCGGCTCAGTCTCAAGTTTCAAAATCTCAGTGCTTGCCTCGCCACATTGTGCGGCCTGTGTGAATGGTGCACGGAAATCGGGGAGCGTACTGAATCTAAAACCAGACCAAGAGCTCTTGCCATTATTCATTTAAACCTGGGATTGAGCAAAGTGTTGCATTGCACAGCCGACAAATAGCCGCAGGCAGGAAGCATCCCGTATATTTTTTTACTTATTTTTTGCAGTTACTCCCCAGCCAACCCCATAACCAACCATGTTCTGGAATTGTTGTGGGCCACAGGTCAAGGGGCGGGGCAAAATGGATTTCGATTTGTTTGTGATTCAGTATACAAATTGTGTGTGTGTGTGTGTGTGTGTGAGTTAGTTGAAATGTTGTTTTTCAAAATGTATAAGCCAAACCAAAATTGGTTTCCATAGGACATGCAAGTAGATGATTGGTTTTAGCATTTGTGTGTGTATTTATATTCGGAGGTGTTTTTAGACTTTATTAAATTGCCTGGATTTTGGATGTGGCAATATTAAGCCATTACTTATCCTACGACTACCTGAATTGCGTTCAATTGGAATTGAATGCCAGCGGCGCAAGGGAATATTTTTAAAAATGCTATTGAGAATTTTAATTTATATTGAGATACAAACATAAGCCTGTATTTGAAAACGCACTTCACTTATGGACTGCCTTTAAGAAGTTCGTAAGTGTTTACAGATCAGGATTTCATATAGCTAGCAAGGTCAGTCAAATCAAATTAAATTCTTGTGGAAATAAATATTTATTGATTTATTTTTATAGAACTTACCGTTGCACCTCCAAGTAAGAGCCAGACCTGCAATAATAAGAAAATTTCAAATCAAATATATATTTAATGCTTCTTCGTTATAAGTAGCCTAGCATAAACTGAATTTCATCAATGTTGCCAGATATAAGTATATTTAAAGCCATTGGCAATTCCGGCCAATGCTTCCTTCAAATCTTAAAGTTTAATCACACAAAACATTTTGTATGGCATGTTGAGGATGCCAGAGCAGCAAACATGATTGTCAGACTTTATTGTGATGTTGTTGTTGCTGCTGCTGCTGCTGCTGCTGCTGCTACTTGCCATTTCAGATTACGGCTGTAGTTTAGTTGGCATATACCAGGCGGCGGATACATGCCTACAAGCTTATTTATAATAAAAAATCATACATGGCCGCACAGACAATGAGACAATAGACGACTCTGACGACGACGCAGCGGCAGTGGCCATAACAACAACAACAACAACAACAACAAAAGCGGGAACAATGTGGCACGAACAGAAAAACAAACGACAGCCAGCGTTAAGCCACTGGCAGAAGGCAGGCCTAACCCAATGTCGGGATGAGAGCCACACGCCCAGAAGTTGACTAGTGAATGCCAGCCAGACTGGGGCTGAGCCATCATTAACTGCGTGGCTAACGTGTGTGTGGAGTTATGTAAGCCACACACACACACACACACACAACACGCATACACACACAAGCACACACACACAAAGACCACACCTCATCTAGCCATTCATTGACAACATTCAGCATTGTAGATAACATTCAGGAAAATGCTCTGAGGATTATCCACCTTGGGCAACCAAACCAAACAGTGTAATGAAATTTTCGAAATATCTATGATGATTTGCGGTTGCCATGATTGTCGGCCCATATGAACGTGTGTGTGTGTGTGTGTGTATGTGTGTCTGTTCGACACTTCCGCAACGCTCTCAATACAATAGAGCTATACGAACTACGTATATTGTGAGGCAGAGCTTTGGCCTCTGGTTTCCGGCAATTTCAAGTGACTAAAGTCACACTTGGAGCCTTTTGGCCAATTCATTGTTTGCCCTTTTTGGCCAGCCAATCTGTGCGTTGCCATGTGCCAGCTGTGGTTTCAACTTCTGTACCCTGGGATTTTCCAACTACATGATGCTTACAACAACATTGTTATTAATTTTCCTAAATTGAAATTTTGTGCTTTAAAAAGGGATTTGTTTGGGCCTGGACTTTAATTGCACATTTTATACAACATATTTGTAAAAAGCTAAATATTCAATGAGTCAAGAAATGATAGATAGAATAAGTGTGTTTGGAATGCCGAAAATTCAATACTCTTCTAGATGTGTAGTACTTAGACGTAGTACTTCAGCTGGAAGTAAAGTGTATTCTAACGAAAGAATAGGTTATTTAATAGGCGGTAGTCGGGCTGCTTACTTTGTAGGGAAATTCAAAATTTGTCACGAATTATGTAACGCATAGAAGAGCCAATAAAGTATATATATTCTATATAAGTATCAAGAGCTGAGTTGTTATAGCTATGTCCGTCAGTCCATCTGTCTGTTTCTATACGAACTTGTCTCTCTATTTTAAAGCTGTTTGTGAACCTGATCGGACCACTATATATAACGAGAAGTAGCTTCTTGTATGACAAAAGGCAAATGTCCACAAAGGTATTAAATCTTCGGCGTGCCTAAGGCATACGCACTTTCTCGTTGTGTGTCTATATATAATTTATAGCTTTAGTATGTTGTTGAATATAATATCGAAATGAATCAATCACTTGAAGGACTACTTGTTAGTGTCAGGCACACTTGACCATCACATTTATATTTTTAGCTTGAGGACAACCACAAATGCTCTCTTCGGTGTCTCACAGTTGTGTGCAATTGTCAACAATTGCTTTCACTCTTCGGTAACGGGCAACGCAATCTGAAACGAGGTTTTAATGGCACTTTTTATGCATTGCATTTTTCAATATTTGCTTGACATTGGGCGTGACAGTGGGCGTAAATTCAAACTGACAGCAAAATAATTTTATTATTTATGGTGATGGCGACGACGACGACGACGACGACGACGGCGATATAAAATGGGTTACGCTAGAGTGTGAAACTGTGTGTGAGGGGACGGAGGCGGCTAAAAAGTTGTAAAGGAATTATTGTAAAATTTGTGGAAAAATATAACGTATAGAGTACGAATGCTGCGGATCTGGTTTGCCTGGCAGTTGACTGAAAACTGGTCGTATGCAATCTGCCCCTGCCGTTGCCTCTGTTCCGCATGCAATCATAAATTTTTGTGTGTGGCATGCAAAATAACGTAATAACATTAAATATGCAAATGCCTTTTGTCAGCCATGCATTTACACATGGCAAACACACACACATACACACATATAAGTGCATGCATGTATACAGAAATGGGCACATTTAGTGCAAATTCGCATGTGTATTCATTCATATAGAACTCACTGTTCGGTAGGGGCTGCTCATTGCAAGTCTCTTGCCTCGTCTGAGTCTTCAGAGTCGACTTCATCACAAATTTTGCAATTTGCATAAAGTGAAAATGATGCACATTTCTGTTTTCCTACGACAATTTGCCTTTATTGATTTTCTTTGATTTTCTTTACACACACACACACACGCACACCCTCAGCTGTACAGTGGGTACAGTGGCTCCGCTCAAGCAGCTCACTTCGTGCTGCTTTACATGTGTTTTGAATGACGTTGAGTGCTGCTATGCAAACATTTTCTAACGAACACTTAGTGCAAATAGATTGTGCACAAGCACACAAGTGCATAACACACTGTGTGTGTGTGCGCGTGTGTGTGTGACACTTACAGTTGGTGCTGCTAACTTCTTTCCTTTTTAGCAGTTTTCTTTTTATTGTATGCCAATTACTTCTTATTTTTGTATTCGCGTGTGTCTTGAATTTCATTAGATTTTCCAGTTGTTGAATCAAAGTTGACATTATGCACTGCATTACATTTTATTGAGCGGGGCCTGTAGCTATATCTGCGCAATTGTTATTACTCTAGCTAGCAAATATTGCAGCGTTCTATCATGGCATAAAATCAAATCTTGCTGAGCCAGATTTTTCAGCTCCCAATTTAATGAACATAGTGCATTTTTATTGAATATAGTTTTTCACAGTTGTGGCGCGCTGTTATTTACATATGTGTGGAGTGTAGGGGCAAAAATAATAACGTTAAAGGGCTAAAGCTTTATATTTACGGATGCGGCGCAGTGCTTTAAACAGGCAGCACACCATCTCAAAAAACATTAACAATTGTGGTAAATTCTAATGAAAACTAGCATTTAACTGTTTTGTTAAGCTCTTAGAAGTCTACCACCACAATAATGTTTAACATATATGCAGCTTTTTTAAGACAATTACATTAAAATTTCTCTAATGCTGTTGTTTTTTTATATTTTCTCAATAACACTTATAGTTCTTTGAACGAAAATCGATTGAAGTCAACAAAAAATCATCAAAAAACTTGTCTTAAATATTTTGATTAAATGCATGTTTATTATCCATAAAATCTGTGAGGGCAAATAACCTAACGAAATAAATTTATAATCAAGAATCTGCTTATAAAATTTCTCAAATTCCAATATATTATTAAACTTACTGCACACTTTTTATGCCCTCTGTTGCTCGCTGTTTATTACTTTATACAACACAATTTTTTCTGGCCAGTTTATATATATATATATATATTTCCTTTTTTGTGCACTGGCAGTCATGTGCACCGGAACTTTATATTGCTAGTAAAGTTCGGAATGTCGACAACGAGTGCAACAGACGTTGCCATCTTCGCCAATTGGCCAATAAAGCGTGCTCAACATATCTGGCACAAGTTGCGGACATTACCTATCAAATAAAGTTTACAAGAAATCACGCACAACCGCACACAACAATTCGCACAACTGTTCGTAGTTTTCTAAAAAATTAAATGTGCATTTAGTCAATGCTAAGGAGAGTATATTAAAGATTAGACAAGATAACAATAGCCAAAACTGGACTGACTTATACAAAATGTTCTATGCTTCGAAACCGGACTTTTGTATTAGGAAAAAAATCCAAGAAGATTTAAGGTATATTTGTGCATGTCGCTTTTGCTCTCTTCTTTACTCTATAAACTGGTACAGTCAAGCATTCTCCCAAATTCCTTCTTAAGTCGCATGCCTTTGCATTTTTGGGGCGTTGACTTTATCAAGTTTTAATCGATTCAATCGCCTGTGCATATTGCAGTCCATGTAAGCCAACACTTGCTAAATACCCAACAGTCACTGTCAACTTTACCGATTGGAGCTTACATGCACAAGCACACGAACACACAGACACACAGATCCACACAAATACACACACACACATACAGGAGAATGTGGCTAGCTGGGATTCGTGCGTGCGGCTCCCGTTGCGCTTGGTGAAATTAGTTTGGGGATTTAATATGTAGTATAATGGGATTGATCATTAGTTGGTATTTTAGAGTCCAATTCGGAATGCCGGTAGATGCCGGGATTTACAGCCATCACAGAAACGTCCAAATATTTGCACGGGAACTGGGCTCGAGGAATGGGGCTCATTAGCATTCAAATCTGTTGGCTTGGGCAGGCAGGAAAGCGGCTGGCCAGAAGCGCACTAAATTTAATTAAATTTAATTGTGCAAAAATACTTGCTGAGCATTATATTTGGCAAAGCAATTAATTTAATTGGTAACTCAAACTAACGTCGTCGTAAACAATGGCCAAATATGGATTAAAGAAGTAAATACGATATATTTTGGACACAGGCTTCACTTTGTGGTTAACCTAACTTGCCATAAATACTATGAGCTGTTTTGCAATACTGACAAGACCAGATTGCACAGAACTGATGCAGAAATTCGCACGCCTAATCGCTAATCGAAAAAACGTTAAAGCGAAACTATTTCCAAACATACTCACGCCGCAAATAATTTATTATGATCTCATCAGGTGGCACCACAAGTTGGTCAGTGTTGCAAGACAAAGTGAGAGTGTGCGAAAATGCTGT